TATCTGGTATCTCATACCCAAGGAATTTAATTTAGAAGTAAATATACTAATTAATCTCAATTGTAAACTTAACTTAAAATAAAACTTTCACAAAGTTACATTTTATTCAAGTTAAAATCATGCAATCAAAGTTTGAACTATAAGACTTATTCTTTAAAACCTTTTAACTTATCAACTCTTGATAATTGATTTACCTTATCAACTCTTGATAATTGATTCACCTTATCAACTCTTGATAAGTTATATTCTTTTAGTCAAAACTTGACTTATAGTCCATGACAAAATTTGATTAAACTAATTTTTCAATATAGCTAATCGTTCTCTAATAAATCAATGTTTATTTAGAGAAAATTTTGTCATTTAGTGATGGAATTATTGTTCAAGAATTTCATATATCTTAAACCTTGATTATCTGTTATTCAACGCTTTGAGATGTCTAATTATGGTGAAAGAAAATGAATCCTTGTAACATAAGAGATTTAGGAATCATCTATGACACACTATCGTCATCTCCTTTGTACTTACTATAAGCATATACTATTAATTCCATTCCATCTTCCATGATTGGAAGTATTAAAGTTTTAAAAGATATAACCAGATTTACTTGAAAACTTCTCTCAATTCTCTTTGCCCGTCCAAGAAATTGAAAATATTAATTATATTAAGAATAATATGTAATTACTCATAATTTCTTCAACAAGTTGTAAAGATAAAAGAGAATTGCTATTTATGTAAAAATAAAAATAAGTTTGATTTTGTTCCCACTATTTTAATACTATAATCCTCAAACATGAAACCAGGAATTCAAAAATCCCTAGTGGGTTAGAATCTCATTTTAGTTATTTTAATCTACATTAAGGTGAATAAACCAAGATAACTAAAACAAGTTGGTACTTATTACCAATTACAATAATTATAACTTCTAGATAGTTAAATTGTCAACTTTAGACAAGACACATCTTATGTGTTTCTTAATCTTTGCCTCTACAACATACAACCTTCATTGAGGTGAACAAGTTATATATTGTAGTTAAGTTTAACTTATTATTCCAAGATCTCATCTCATAATAAAATGCGTCCTTGAACAAGAACTCATATTTTACTATAACAATGAAAGGCAACTTGTGTCCAGACTTAACATCTAATTGAGGAATTTTAGACATAATATATCCAAGTTGGGCTCATCAAGTATATAACATGCATATCTATTCATCAAATAAATAAATAAACATACTATAATTAAACATGGATGATTATGGATTTTATTGCTAAACTAGTTTTCTTGAGCCAAAAGAAAACTAGATGGTCAACTGAGAGACAAATAATATCTCCATGCCTTGTACACCTTTTGTATGTCTGTCATGGTAGAATTGGTGCCATCTCCATCTTCTTTGTACATTATAAATATAAACCTAATCTAAATATTTTAGATTCTCAACCTTTCCCCATGCCTAATATAGTACATTACATAATATTGAGAGAAACTTTGACTTACATTCAATGGGAGTGAGATGAAAAGAGCATTTATATTGAGAGTATTTAGAGAAAGCAAGACACATAGGTCCTATTTCGAAAATACCAAAACCAAAACATACATACATTCAACCATTCATATTGGTTTTAGTCCATAACCATCTATCATGAATTCACATAATACAACACTAAATGAAAGCATAATAATGCATTTATTTAATTCTAATCATGAATCATTATATGCTCAAATTTTAAGCCATTTAAAGTTTCAATTCTTGAAAAAACTATGGAATACATTTTCTAATCTCATTAGAACAATTTTCAATATTTTAAAACCATGAACAAAACTTTTGCCTAATCTGATTATGAGCCCAAGTCTAAATAATGATTTTATAGTCCAACTAGAATTTCTTAATTCACTCAGGAAAGGAAATTTTCTTTTAAGTCATTTTAGACTTTCAAATACTAACTTTAGAGTATTTTCCCAATTTAATTTCATTAAATTAGAAAGTTTCTAAAGTATTTCAACACTTGCCAAATTTAATCTCAACAAATTTGGAAGTTTCTAAAGTTGATTAGACTTTCTTAATTTTAGTCTCACCAAAATTTAGTAAGTTTTCAAAACTTAATTGAACAATTTTTTTTCCAATTTGAATTTTTAAGATTTTTTTTTAAAAAATACCATAATTCTAATCATATTAGAAATATAGGAACTTTTCATGTTGTCATAGAAACCCACACGAAAAATGGAAATCAATGACCATATCTTATTTGTCATTGGAAACTTACTGGTTTCCCAATTTTCCTTTCTCCAGAAAATTTTTAGCAATTGTTAACCAATCGAATATCAACTTCACCATCATTACATGGTAGGAATTCGAAGCAACAAGAATAAAAAAATTGCAACAAAGTAGCTGCCGTGGGACTACGTTAAAAACCATTGTAAAACAGTGATTTCATGCAATTTCCAGCAACCAAACAATACAGGCATGAAACGTTTTCATGCATGGAAGAAGAAACCAAGGCAAATCAATTTGACTATGATAAAGATTAGGCCAAGATTCCTAAGTTTACAAAGTCAAACTATTTGAACAATTAATTTGGCTCATCTTAATTCATAGGTATGGCTTCGAGGGTTGCCGCCTGCTTGCCTTAGTTTCTTCTTCCAAGGGTTTCGCTTGTAACATGGCAGCCATGGCTGCCCTCCGGCTGATGCCTGGAGGGCAACCATCTTTGCTCTCTCCCACCTTTGCAATGAAGTCTCTCTCTTCACTCTTCTCTCAGTTGAATCAGCCCCTACTCAATGTCAAGGCTATGCTGTCCTCTCATAGGGGCGAGCTTGCTATATCCTTTGCTCAGGATGATCTTGACACTCTGTCCGCTCCTTTCATGTTTGCTCTCGTCGGCAAATTCTCTAAGGGAAGGCCTAGCATGGAGGTTATATAGAAGTTTTTTCTGACTTTGGATCTCAGGGAAACAACGACGGTAGGCTTACTCGACTCTAGACATGTTCTCATTCGATTGGGGAATGAGCTGGATTTCCTTAGGCTTTGGTCTCGTGGGATTTGGTACATTCATGGTGTTCTTTTGCGAGTGTTTAAATGGTCAACCACTTTCCATGTCGATCGTGAGCCTTCGGTGGTGCGGGTTTGGTTCCAATTGCTGAAATTGCCGATTCATCTCTTTCACAAGGAGTCTCTCTTTCAGATTGTGAGCTGCTTGGGTAAGGCTTTGTTCGTGGACTCTGCAACAGCTTCTGGAGTGCGCCCTAGTGTAGCTAGGGTGTGTGTGGAGATTGATTTGCTACAACCTCTCCCTTCACAGATATGGATTGGTAATGGGGAGCATGGTGGCTTTTGGCAGCAGCTTATCCCGGAACGTCTTCCCCAATACTGCGACTATTGCTTCAAACAGGGACATGACAGGGCTTCATGCTTCGTTCTTCATCCTACTTTGAAGATGGAGAAGGTGGAGAAGAAGGGTGATGAGGTGCGTAGCTCGCCTGTGCCTGTTGAGGGCATCCCACTGGAGTCTAATGCCAAGGGAAAGGCGACTGCCCAGGAGGAAACTTTGCAGCATGCGGATGGGGATAATCCTGTGGGTAGCGTAGGGGCAAGTGCTAGAGGGGTTGCCGTAGACTGTGCGCAGAACCAAAGCCTGGCTGGGTCAGTCCTTTGATGGAGGATGGGACGGCAGCAGGAAGACTCTACGGAGGAGTTGGCGATGCCGCAAGCCGTGGGTTTGGGGGGAGAACAGCGGCGGCCGCCTGCTGGAACCAGCATGGTGCTTGCAGCAGTTGGAGCCAGTGAGGAAGGGTGGCAGCAGGCCATGCTACGCTGGTGCAGGACCCTTTGCTTGCGCACGGGTTGCCTTTCCAGTAGGTGTTGGTGCAACCATCGCCTGATGGGTTGGTGGATGGAAGGGATGGTGCTGAACCTGGGGCAGCGATTGAGGGAGAGAAGGAGATGGTGTCCGATGGGTAGTTGGAGGAGGAGGCCATTTCCATGGCTAAGCAGAGGGCTGGCAGTCTATCGCCGCAAGGGCAACTAGTCCAACGGCAATGTGAGCCTAGCTCCTTGGTGATCGACATTTTTAACCTTGACCCAATAATTCAACAGATTCAGGAGAAGGCTAATGGTGGGGATGATGTTAAGCTAGTTGATAAACCTAAGCGTAAGGGTGTTCGCTTGTGGGCTCCTACTGATCTTTCTCTACGCTCGAAGGCAAAGGTGTGCTCTAACTCCTTCTTTGCATTATCTGATGATTAATTTCCTATTCTGGAACATTCGAGGTATCTCGCGTACTCCAAATTTTCGTAGATTAAAAAGGTTAATTTTTGAGTTCTCGATTCAATTAGTGGCTATTTGTGAGCCAAAGGTTTGGGCGTGTGACATCTAAATGATATGTGCTCGTCTCAATATGGATAGTTGGATGGTTAATAGGGTGGGATCTATCTGGGTATTCTATAAAAATGGCTTCCAATGTGCTCCTGTTGGGGAATCTCCTCAACACCTGTCCCTTAGAATCTCACCTCAGGTGCTGTCGGCTCCCATTTATTTTTTCTTCGTCCATGCAAGGTGTACTGAGCAAGAGCGAGTTCCGTTGTGGTCAGCGTTGTTAGTGGATAAACCGAGGGATGATCCATGGTTGGTGGTGGGGATTTTAATACCATTGTTAGTGCAGAAGAGAAGCGAGGCGGGTTGCCTTTCCGGGTTGATGAAGGTGTGGAATTGAGATCATTTATGTCCAGGGCTGGGGTGTTTGACGCAGGATTCTCAGGGTCATGTTTCACATGGTGTAACAATAGGGGTGGTCGTGCTCGAATTTGGAAGCGACTAGATAGACTGCTATGTAGTCCGATTGTGACTTTAATGGGGATGACTTTTGGAGTTTGACACCTAGGCAGAGAGCCTTCCGATCATTCCTCCCTCTTGTTATCAGCTTCGACTCGACTTGATAACAAGTTTAGACCTTTTCGTTTCTTAAACGTTTGGACTTCGAAAGTAGAGCTGTTAGATGTCATTAGGATGAGTTGGCCAAGCTATTGCCCAGGACGCCCATTGCAGCGGTTGGCTGCCAAATTACGGCTCACTAAACATGCAATCCAACATTGGTCGCGGGAGCACTTTGGCAATATATTCGATGCAGTGAAGCAGGCAGAGGAGGCAGTAATAGCGGCAGAGGCTGCACTTGATAGTAACCCATCACAACAACAATGGTTAGCACTCCAGGAGGCAATGGCGGTTATGAGAAACTCTATGGTCAAGGAGGAAGCATATTGGAGGCAAAAAATAAGAATCAAGTGGCTTCAGGACGGAGATAAAAACTCAAGGTTCTTTCATGCGGTAGTGGCAGAGAGACGTGCTAAATCAGTTATACACCGGATTCGGAGTAGCACGGGGGAGTGGCTGATTGATGAAGCTCACATTTCGACGGAGGCAGTAGAGTATTTCACATCTTTATTCTCGGCCGAACCTTGTACGGGGTCATGGAGCACTTTGGAGGTCATTCCCAATATTATTTCAAGGGAACAAAATGCTGAGTTGCAGCGCCTTCCCTCGATGAAGGAGATAAAAGAGGTGGTACTCGCAATGGATGGGGAGAGTGCGGCGGGCCCTGATGAATTCACAGGTAGGTTTTTAACCTTTGCATGGAACATAGTGGGGCATGATGTGTTTGAAGCCATCGTTAGCTTCTTCTGTGATCACGAGCTGCTGAGGAGCGTTATGTCGACTTTGATAGTACTGCTTCCAAAGGTGTCCTCACCCCAAGACTTTAGTCAGTTTCGATCCATAAGCCTTTGCAACTTTGTCAATAAGGTTATATCAAAACTGGCGGCTCGATTGTCAAAGGTGCTGCCAAGTATTATCTCTCCTCAGTAGAGTGGCTTTGTTAAGGGTAGGCAAATTTTTGATAATTTTCTGTTGGTCCAAGAGTTTGTGTCGGATATTCACCGGAAAAATAGAGAGAGAAATGTAGTTTTGAATCTCGATATGGCCAAAGCCTACGATAGAGTCTCTTGACCGTTTTTGCTCCAGGTGTTGAGAAGGTTTGGGTTTGGCGAGGTATGGATTGATATGATTTGGAGACTTATCTCGAATGTGTGGTTCTCTGTAATAGTTAAGGGAGCGCTTCAGGGATTCTTCAAATCTAGTCGTGGATTGAGACAAGGAGATCCGATTTCACCGGTGCTCTTTGTGATTAGTACGGAAGTTCTTTCTCGTCTGTTGAACACTTTGAGTAGCTATCGGGGTTTTACGCCTTTTAGAGTTTCGCAGGGCTGCCCGCCTGTTACTCATCTAGCCTCGCTGATGATGTTATTGTCTTCTCTAGTGGTTTGCGGCAATCTGTGCGGTTGGTGCTGAAGGCGCTGGACCCTTATGTTTCAGTGTCAGGTCAAAAAGTGAACCAGCAAAAGAGCTGTGTCTTGGCTCATGCCAATTTTCCCGGGAGCAGGAAACGGTCTATTGCGGAGATGATTGGGTTTCAGTCGAAGGAGTTTCTGGTCAGATATCTGGGTTATCCTTTATATGCAGGGCGGAGGAGGAGATGCTACTTTGCAGGGGTTTGTGACTCGGTCACGAGTAAAGTGTTGTTATGGAAAGAGAGGTTTTTCTTACATGGTGGTAAATTAGCTCTAATCAAGAGTGTGCTGTCCTCTATGCCGCTTCACACATTCGCTGCTTCAATCCCTCTCAAGTCGATATTTAGTGGGATGGAGAGCATTTTTGCTGATTTTTTATGCAGCTCCTTAAAGGCTAGGCCGTGCTTCCAGTTGTGCAACTCGTATGACAGGCGGGTGCTGGTTTGAAATCTCTTAAGCATGTGTTTGATGCCTTCTCCATGAGATTATGGTGGCACTTCCGGTTGCGACAATTGTTGTAGGTTGAGTTCATGCACTGTAAATATTGCTCCAACCTTCATCCTTCCTTTGCTGATACTTCTCCTGGGGACTCTTGGACTTGGAAGAGACTGGTGGCTATCTAGGGAGTAGCAGAGCAACACATCTATTGGGTTTTGGCTAGGGCTAATGTGAGCTTCTGGCATGATAATTGGTTGGGGACGGACCCATTATGTCGTTCCATGGATACTTTTTAGGAGTACTCGGTTTCCGATTTTATTGAACAGGGTTGTTGGAATGTACAACGGTTAAGCAGGGTAGCGCCTAGCGGATGGGTGGGGAGGATAGTGGGAGTCATGCCTTCCTCGCTGGACCAGACGGATACCATGGTTTGGGCTCCTAGTACCTCCGGTGTCTTCTCATTAGCATCAGCCAACCGGATCGCTCGAGAGGATAGAAACAGCTCTTGGCTCTACTCACCGCTCTGGCTTCAAGGGCAGCCGACAAAGATTTCTTTTTTCATGTTGAGATTGGTAGGGTCCCATTTGCCAGTGATGGACAGGTTGCATAAACTTGGTATATTCGGCCCCTCTTGTTGTGGTTGTTGTCTACACCCATGTCAAGAATCTTCTGATCATATTTTCTGTACCGAAGAGGCGGCAAAGAGGATTTGGGGTTATTTCGAAGGGGTGATCGGAGGGTTTCAGGAGTCCTTTACGATACGCCACAAGTTGGTTAGCTGGTGGTTGAAGCCTACTCGGAACCCATACCTCCAGTACCTTTTCCGTTTATTGCCGTCTTTGATCTGTTGGAATTTATGGAAGATGCGGAATTCGTTTGTCTTTGATGCCCATCTGCGACCCATGGCTCGTGTGTGTGAGGCAATTTTTGGGGACCTCAGGGATATTTTCCTCCTTAAATTTAAAAGCATCACTATCTCTGCTCAGGATTGGCCGGGTTTTTACGGTATGGTGGTTGGCCTGCATAGGGTTTCCAGGACCTTGGTGGTTCAGTGGAGCTGCCCAGTTCATAATGTCGTCAAACTGAACTCGGATGGCTGCTCTCCGGAAAACCTGGGGGTGAGTGGAGGTAGGGGTGCTTTAGTGCTCGGAAGGAAGGTTTATTTTGGGGTACTCGTGCTTCTTTGGGGAGATGACGAGTCTGCAGGCTGAATTGAAAGCGATGATTTTTTGTGTTGGGCTGGCTATTGATCGTGAGTATTCTGAGTTACATTTAGAATCTGACTCTTTGGTTCTGGTTCAGATCATTCAAGGGAAGACTCGGTGTCCGTGGCGGTTGCGAGGGAACTTACAGGACCTGTTAAAAGTTAAAAGATTCGTTAGAGAGGTATCACACTGCTTTCGGGAAGCGAATAAACCGGCTGACCGCCTTGCAAACATCGGAGCGGACTCAGGGAAGACTCTAACGTATGGCTCATTGCGTGATTTGCCTCGCTTGGTGAGGGGTGACTTCGCTTTTGATCAGATGGGTGTTCCAAGTTTGCGTAGAGTTAGAGTGTAGGTTACGCTAGCACTTGTGGTTTCTGGTTTTGTTTGCCATATATGCCCTCCTTTTTTATGAAATAAAGTAACCTGTTTCCAAAAAAAAAAAAAAATAGGTATGGCTTCTATGTTTCTTCTTTAATCGTTGCATTTTGTACTTATGTGATCTCATCACATTTAAACAGTCATCAAGACGTCTATTTGGATTGAAATTTCTTAAAAGAAAAAAATTATTACCTCATATACACGTTTTTCAATTATTCTTTTATCTCATATACATCACATCCCAAAAAAAATTTTAAATAATCTTCAATCCAAACCGAGAATGTTCGATATTCAAAACAAATAAAAAAAATGCATGCCATAAGAAAGCCAAGAACGTTCTGCCATGCAAGATTAATTAAACCTTGGGTCTTGGTCATATGACTTGCATCAATGACAATTTACCCTTGACTTTAATCATGCTGATAACGTCCTACAATTTTCGTCTTAGTTCATGCTTTATGACGAGTACGAGGCATACATATAATAATTTGCTAATCCACAGTCAAGTTTTACATTTATAAAAACATAAATACCCCACACGTAATTTTTCACAAGTATACGAGTCGAGACCGAGTATATGGTATTAAGGGTCGATCCTATAAAGAAGAATGGATAATTACCGGCACTACTAAATTCCTTTATTATTTAGATGTTCAACAAATTAAAAGAAATAAACTAAGGGATAAACGGATAGATAAATGCAAATGAAAACTCCTTGGATAATGGAATCCCTACCTATTCATGCTAGCCTAACTCCCTAACCAAATGAGTACCAAAATCTCGGTTAAATTATGGCATAATTTTCTAATAGATGTGATACCCACTTTCGCTGGCGTACCAACTATACCTATAGTTAATTCATACCTACTTTCGTGGTTATGAAGTCAACTATAAGTTCATTCACTTCTATGAAATTACATGGAACAAAGCCACAAAATCCACAAAGGTGTACCTCTACTTTCATGAGTGTACTTCCTAGGTTTAACACTTCTATGAACTAGTGTCAAATTTCAATTCTCATTGCAAATCTAACACTTTTAGATGATCATAATCGATGGCCAGTTAATCATGATTATAAGAGCAAAAGTGCTAAATAACTCAATCAAGATAATAGCATCATTTAGCCAAGAAATTAACACCAAACAATCATCGAAATTTCAACCAAATACCCAAGGCATATATTTTAAAATAACATCACAAACACAATATCCAAATCTTGCATTAACAAATTTAGAGTTCAATACAAAGATAAAAAGTGGAGATAAGAGAATCCTTGTTACTAGAGTTTCTTGAGCCTCTCATTCTCATCTCCGTAGGCCTCTCCTTGTTGAACCAATACAAGCATGGATAACCACAACTAGACTATACTACACTAACCTACATTAATATAAGAGAAAATAAAGAGAATTACATTTATTAAGGGTTTGTGTCTTGCCCCTTGCCCCAAAGGGCAAGACTTTGGGGCAAGACACAACCCTTTTGTTGTTCTTCTTCTTCCTCCAAACTCTCTCTCTTCTCTCAAGCTAATTTTGAACTCACTGCCCACTCTTCCTCAAACTAGAAGAACTAGCTAGTATATATTCTTGGTTTTCAAGAGCCAATCTCTCTCCTCAATAATGTATTTCTTTGTTGTTAAGAGTCAACAAAAAAGCTCCTAGATCCTCCAAAAGTTGGTACAAATTGTCCTCTTGTGTCTTGTCCAAGATTAAGAAAGAAACAAGAAGCATGCAAGTTGGTAACTTGCAGCTGCCAGGAATCCCTTGGACTAATCCCTGGAGGGATTCTTCCAGGGATTGTACAGAGCAACTATGAATTGAAGTTCTGATCACAAACCGCATGAGAAAATACGAGCAGTTTCTGCCACGGATTCATCTTCTCTCCTTTTGTTTTCTTTTTTCCTTTGCACCACTTCACTTAGCATTTATTGTGACTCCTCAAGCTTCATATCCTTGCTCATTTTACTTATAATTCCACTTAAACTTGATCATTTCACCTACAAAAATAGAGAAGCTTTGCAAGTAAAATGATAAAAAAATCATAAATAATTCATTTATCACAAGAAGGTGCAATTTAGTGACATAAAATGGACAATTCATACCAAATATCTTACAAATTGACTCAAAAACAATATGAAACACATTCAAAAAGACAGCAAATTTAACCATTATCACTTTATCTTCGTTTTTGTGCCGTTCGTGATCTCATCATAAAACGGCCAAAAAAACTTCATTTTTCGATTGAAAACTTCATATTACAAGCATTAAAAAATTTTTAAAAACAATTCTAAAAAATTTTCAATCAACTTTGTTCATATAAAACCCAAAACTAACTTCGAGAATAGCATATAATTGTGATCTAATCATCATCCATGACAATTCAATAAATTTGTCACATGGGTTAATCAAATCTGGCTTTGACACCATTGTAAGGAATTATAGAGATATGCATAGCAAAAAATTTAAAATTTTTTATTCCTTTAGTAGATCCACCTTTGATTAAATCTATGTGACATAAAATTAATTTAAGAAAATTACTTCAACCCATGAAAATCTTCTTAAACCGATGGAGATTTGACAAAGAAGGGCAAAGCGATCCACGTAACAATACAAATGTTCGGTCTTTAACGGTGATCCACATGAACCTAAACTAAGTTGAATCAGTTTAAGCTAGATTAGTGCTCCCTATTGCCAAGGCACTTCCCATAAATTGGTTAGGAAAAACACTAGTTTTTCACTATGAATTACTGCTCCAATGAGAAAAATAAGAGATGTGATTCTTCTCTTATTTTCTTGGACGAATTTTAGGTATTTTTCTCTCAAGATTTTTTCTCAAAAATCTCACAAGACAATTGGTGTATCAATTAGTCTTGATAGCAAAAATGTTTAGTGAGTATTTTTATAAACAAATAACTTGTCCATATCCTTATGAAAACCTGAAACCAGTTTCCAATAGGATTCAACTTCCTTATCCTAATACAACTCTTGTATTCGAAAGACTTAAACTTATTTGCACAACAAATCCCTCAATTTTTATTTGTTTCACAAATTAAACTATAAGTTATAAAAACTATCTATCAAATCCCTACTTGAAATTGATTTAATCTATTTAATGTAGTACTTTATGTGTATGACCCATTAGGTTCTCATATATGTTGGTAATAAGTAAGAGTTATAATTTTTAATAAATGAAAATTAGATAAATTAAAACTTCTTTACTTTGTCATTGATTCTACCAATCAATCAATTCATTTTTATAAACTAAGATTGACATCTAACAATGCATCATGACTACCCAAGTAATGAAAAAAGCGAAGTGGATGATTTCACCTTTCAACGAATGTTAACCATGTAATTAATATTTTTTTACCACACTTATCTCACATTAATATTGGAATAAATTGTGTCTATTCCAATATGAGATTAATGTTCATTTCTTGTACCAAAACATAAATCCAATGAAAAAGTATTTAGAAATACTATCTAAAACTCTTCCATTTAGCACAAAAGAATTTTGAATTATACTTCTACAAGTGGTCAGACATGAGATAACTCCTCTTCCATAAGAGGTGGTAAATTCTTATAGGTATTCACCATTTTTTCATACTTCAAGTATATACGCATTTGCTATTGTTGTGAGCATTCTCTGTTATGGGAGCAATCATATAATAAATAAAGTATAGCCATCTGTATTCAAGATACCATGATAATATTAAATCTAAAAATCACTTGCCCAAATGCTTAGAGATCAATCATTTGGTACTTAAAGGATGTCTCTATACGGATCAATCTAATGAACTTGACCATCTTATCAAGCACCAATATACTAATTTAGAAGTTTCAGACATCATGTATATGAGGTTTACTACTTCTCATATTGAAGCGGCATAGTATATGCTAGTCTAACCGTATTAACAATGCCTTTTCTTGTTAATATTTCGACTAGTAATATTTAAGAATAAACTTATTTATAATTGAATGAATCTCACCATTATAACTCTATGATTTCATTGATTAGGTTTGCTCTAAGAGTTTTATCATACTTATATAAATGTAAGCAATCCATATGATAAAAATATAATTTATTATAACATTAATGGTTCAATTACACATTAAACCCTGGAAGGTAATTGACCTTAGACTTAATATTTGCTCAAACACTTATTCAACAACTGACCTCATTTATTTTCTATTTTTTTCTCGAGCTTTGGTGCACAACTATTAGGTTTATGAGTAAAGGATTATATTTTACATTGGTTCGAAAGATGGAGAAAGAACACTTAATATGTAATGGTCCGAAACCTAATAGTTTAAAGTTTTATATCAGAATTGAGTTTCTGACTTTACATATTGAATTTTTTGATGGGCTATCTCCAGGTGTTCCTCCCTAACAAGTGGTATCAGAGTTTCAGATTGCTAGATTGAGCTACTCATGGGCAAGTGGATTATTTTAGGAATTGATCTGGTGAAAATTCTCTTATTGGTGGTGAATCAAAGTGCTAAGGAGTTTGGTTGATATTGGACCAGGAGCGCCATGGGTTTGGCCGAGGATCGAATTGTCCTTAGACCAAGGAGCCAAGAGTTGGTAGGGGTTCGGAATCCATTTTGGATATTGAAGAATAGTGGATCCATGATTAGAAGAAAAGGTGGCCTTCGGTGTTAAGGTGGGTTTGCGTTGAGTAGTAATGTGAGTTCAGAGAAGAGCCATTAAACTTGGGTTTAATATGAGGGGTTACTCATAAAGGAAAAGATTTGTTAGATTTATGAATAAAGGATTATGTCTCACATTGAATCGAAAGATGGAGAAAGAGCACTTAATATATAAATAAGGGTTCGAGACTTAATAGCTTAAGTTTTTGGATCAGAATTGGATTCTTGATTTATATATTGAATTATTTGATGAGCACTCTCGAAGCGTTTCTCCCTAACAACAACAACCGATGAAATGAATCCCATTTATTTTAGTAAGGTGCCAAAC